ACATTGATAAATGTAGAGAGTACCCACCTAATAAAGACTTATGGATTCAAAGACAAAAAATGTTAACTTATGACAAAAGTAAAGACTTGGTGGTACGTGGAAGTTCTCAAGATTAAATTACTAAAGCGTGTGTGCAAATGATAGTTTTAGATGAGTTACCATTTAGTTTTGTGGAAGGAGAAGGATTTTGTTATTTTTGTAGAGTTGCATCCCCCCATTGGAGAGTTCCAAGTCGTAAGACGATTGCCAAAGATGTGCTAAACATGTTTTACATTGAGAAGATGATACGGACTACGTATCGGATAGGGAAGACTTAGAGCGTCTTCAAGCTCCTGAGAATATGGGACGAGGAAGAAGAAGAAGAATTGAGGCGAAGAGGGAATCGGCGAACCGAGAGGGGAGAAGGAATTAGGGTTTTGATTTGTTTATTGATTGATTATTCTAAAGGAGCTACATCTCAATATATATAAGACAAAGAAACCCTAGCTAACCCTAAACTAACCTGACGGTTCAATAAAAGCGACGAGGGAAAGAACCGTAAAGAAACCTCGAAGGAGCTTATAATTTCGCTCACCTAATAAAACCTAGATTACAATATAATAATAATAATAATAATAATAATAATAATAATAATAATAATAATAATAATAAACTAATAAATATATAATCTAATATCCTACTATATAATCCATAACACTCTCACCCCCTTAGAAAACCACCTTGTCCTCAAGGTGGAGGCTCCCACTCATGCTTTTGGGCTGAAGAGAACGTGTTGAACAAAACAAGACATCCACTTTTTGGCCAATTATCAAATGGCATGCCTCCTTGAATGTAATGAGAGAAATATGAGACAAAGCCATTCACGAGCCTAGTTGCTCCCATTGAAACCCGATGCTCTTTATGTACGTTATCAAGATGGTGAGACATCATGATTGTGCGAGACAGAATTAAATCAAGAAATTGATGGTTGTCACCCAAAGCATGGTCCTTAACAATGTCTCCAACATAAGATGTAATGTCTGTCTCATAGGGCACCTCATCACTTTTAAAAATTTCTGTTAGAGCGTAGTCTTTGTGATGGTCAACCCTGGCAACATCATCCGTACGAGCATCATCAACAACTTTAAGAGGAATATCTTTGGGAATACATACAAAATCAAGATCAATTTCCTCCATAGATTCCTGATCATGAGAATCCGTGTTTTGCATATGTACTGAATGGGTCAAACTTGGTGGAGAAGGCAGAGCGCTAATGAAATTCCGTAGTGCGCCCAACACATGCGTTCTGAAATTTTGTAACCCCAAAGAAATTTGACTTGACCTAATTGGAGGATCACGAACCAAATCTTGAATGGAGCAAGAGATATCCACGTCAAACGCATATAGGTCTGAATCATAATTTAGTTGACCCTCAATATGAGAGAATGATCGGAGCGTCCTGATAATTTCATCAAGCTGAGCATAAACTAAGCACACCCCTTCATCAAAATTAATTTTTTTATGCAAAACAATCTCTATTAAATTGAACAGGTTATCAATCATGAGTGGATCAATGGGGACATTTGTTGCACAATCTCTGAACATAATTATTTATCCCGGCAGAAGTAAATCTAACCAAATTAATAGGCAGCCACGTATGAAAATCCCACAATCTTTAAGATCTAGCACAACTGTACAAATGGAGCAATCATTGGCCGTTGCTAATTGGATTAAGACTAAGTTGAATAATCAAATTCAATTCTTCCAATGAAACAAAACAACTAGAATGTTGTACCAGTATTTCTTTGTGTATGCGGCGTGAGTACCTGCTCAGATTTCACCACTTGCTGCCTTTTTCGTTCTTCTAGCAATTTTTGTTAGATCGGCAACTGGTGATTGGATCAGCAACTGGTGGACAAAGGCAAATTACAGCTGTGGAGATTTGTGTTGTCTCGGATCGGCAACTGGTGGACAAACAAACTTTTTTTTTGGATTTTTTTTGAAATCTCTCAACGAGTGGTTATAGAGTGTCTCTTACAACAGATACTTGGACCTCCATTCAAAACATTAACTACATGGTTATTACTGCACACTTCATTGATAAGAATTAGACTTTACATAAAAGAGTTTTGAACTTTTGTGTGATTCCAAACCATAGTGAGGACTCAATTGCCAGGCTTTTAGAAGAGTGTCTCATTGAATGGAGAATTGAAAAGCTTTTAACAATTATAGTTGACAATTCTGCTTCAAATGATTCTGGTTTAAAAGATCTCATTAAAATAATAAGTTTGTGGAAAATCAAAGATGCACTTTTGCATGGTGGTAAGAATTTGCATATGAGATGTGTGGCACATATTTTGAATCTGGTTGTGAGTGATGGGTTGGGCTGATTGAATAAGTCAATTCAAAGCATTTGTAATGCTGTTAGATATGTAAGATCATTGCCTCAAAGGTTAGATATGTTTAAAGTTTGTGTGGAGAAAGTGAAAGTTGAAAGCAAAGGGCTTGTGATTATGGATGTTCCAACTACGTGGAGCGTAACTCTACGTTTTTAATGTTACAATCTTTTGTGAAGTTTCGTAAAGCTTTTGACTGATTGAAAGAAGATGATGGTAACTACTTGGGATATTCTAAAACTGACAAATCTAACAAAGAAGATAAAGGAAGGGAAGGTCCACCTTCTTGTGATGATTGGGAAAAAGCTGAGGTATTTGCTCATTATTTAAGACCTTTTTATGAAGTTACTTTAAAGTTTTGTTGTTCAAACACTCCAATAATTCCAAATCCTTTTGGTGATTTGGTAAAAATTGGAGGTGCCATGAAAGAACCTGGAAGTACACTTCTATCTTCTATTGCGATACCTATGCAAGCTAAATATGACAAGTATTGGGGGGATTTCACTAAGGTGAATGATTATATTTTGCTTGGAATGGTTCTTGACCCGCGTTATAAATTTGAAAAACTTAGGGATTATTTGGAGTTAATTTATAGGGAGTTAGATAAAAGGGTTGAAGACACCATTACTGAGGTGAAGACGTTTTTGGCTTCTCTACTTAACATGTATGCATCAGATGGATCTTCACCTTCTCAGATAACCACTACTCGTGGTTCTCATAAGTTTCCAGTTTCACTAGAGACCAATTGTGTTTTACCAATGACACAAGTTAAGAGGAAATTGGCAAAAAAGGAGAAAAAGCGGAGAGCAAACAAAGCTGGTATTGTAAGAAACGATGTGGATAGGTATAGTGCAGATGCAATTGAAGGGGATGATAATTCAAGTTTTGATATTTTGAATTGGTGGAGAGTGAATGGGGCCATTAAACACATTTTTTGGAATTTTTCAGACCGATAATTGCAAGTGTTTGGAATGACACATTTTTTGTTTACTGCATTTTTACAGTTTTGGACAGCAAGTTACTGCATTTATCCCAATTTTTTTGCTTGTAATTGTAGTTTATTTATTGTTTTACTTATAGGTTTACAAACTTTACTCTCTACTAATTGTTTGGCATATCTATATAATAATAGGTCTCTACCTAAAATATTATTTTACTTTTAAATTAATTTTTTTAAAAACTGAAAGAATTAAAAAAAAACCGAAATTTAAATCGCTAAAAACCGGACCATATAATGATTGGTTTTATCTTTTTTTTACAAAATTGAACCGAACTGCACTGCCAAAATGCCTTCCATTCTGTCTTTGGTTTTAGGTAAAAATCGAACCGTTAAAACCGAACACTCCCCTAAGATTTATCCCAATCATTTTAGAAAATAATCTCAAAAGGTTAGAATATGCAAAAAGATTTTCAATAAAGCACTTAAAAATTGATTGATCTTAAAACTCTTGGTAAATTGTGAATTTATCCCAATCATTTTAGAAAATAATCTCAAAAGGTTAGAATAAAAATAAAGGTTTGACAAAAAGTCTAAAAGTTTCCAATTTTTATAGGCGATAACTAAAGATTAATTAATTAAACAATTAAAATTGATGACTATTTTATAAAACCTTTTCCTACAAATATATAGACAAAAAAATTCTTGAAGAGATCATTTCAACCCAAAACTCTCACATCCTCATACTTAAACGGAACCATGCCCTCATGGTTAAGAGTATTTTGGAATAAGAGTGATTGGTTGAAATGGTCATATGTAATTACTAAGCTAACCCAATACCTAAAAGATTCAACTATGCAAGTTGAAATAACAAATAACCAAAATATGTAAAAATTAAAATTTTAAAAACAGGCTTAAGAGTCATAATATGAAATTTCAAAATAAAAATCAATCAAGCATCCAAATCATGCTCAAAATAGTAGAGAAAAAGAGAATTTACTGAGGAAGTCAACATCCTCTGAGTAGCCGACTTCAACCAGGACTGTTGGATCAATGAGCATCGAAGATGGCAAAAACTTTGTGTTTTCTTCACGTGTAGGACCTCTTCTTCGCTTCCTCTGCAAGGTATTCCCTATGGGTCTCCCATCTGCAAAAATAAAGAAAACAAACAAAATAACTCTTGCCCCCAAAACTGGTGTTGTAAGTAGAAACTCAAAAACAACAAATATAAACATTTAATTTATTTGGTTATTTGAATGATGGGTTGCCTCACTTTAAGCGCTTCCTTAACGTTTGTAGCTTGATGCCTTAGCAACTTTTTCCGTGACTTTCCGATCCGAGAGTCATAAAGTTTAGCCATTTTAACTCTCTTCTGATGGCGCCCTGTTTGAATTTTGGCTCAGTCAAGGTCCAGGATAGTTGACTGATCCCTGCAGCTTGGTGGCAACAGGAAATAGGGAGGAGACTCTAGATAAGTGGGTGGTGGCGAGAGTCTCCTTGGTTGATCCACATCATTGGCGTTGATCGCGAGATTGATTTGTTCCTTATCTTCAATGGGCCGACTATCCAATTCTATATTGATGATTACAACCGTACTTACCCCCATAGAAGAGTCCTTAGTGTCACTCATCTGATGTTCATCTCAACCTTGATGGCTACAACTATCCTCCGGGAAAACATAGTTACACCCGTCAGGTAGGGAGTCAATCAAAGTTTAGTTTGAATCTTCTGATGAGGCATTATTTGCATAGGTTTCTACAAACAAAGTTGGCTTTTCCATGCACAGTATTTCCTCGTTTATAGATTTCTCCTCAGACTCTTGAATATTGGAATCTTGGGGGTAGGTAATGGGCTCTATTTCCTCCAGAACAGGTTCCTCTAGAGATGTGTCTTCAATACAATTAAGGAGAGGGTTTTTTATTTCTTTAGGAAAATTTCCTTCATCCTTTTCTTCTTAAGTAGGCGTAGGTGGTTCTGAGTCAGGTCCCTGAGGTTGTTCCATCTCATGTATGACGTTGCTAGTTGGCACTTGGCTAGGAGGACATCAGGTAACATCACCACAGTAGCCCTAGCCAGCATTTGAAGAGTTGTAATTCCCTTAGGTTTTTGTGATGGCGTTGGTCTTAGTGAGTCTTCTAGAATCGGGACCTAATGATTTATTGTTTCAGAGGTTGTCTAAGGTTTTAGATCCTCATCTTGATCAAAAACTTCCCCTAATTGTGGATCTCGGAGGGAGCGTATATGCTCAATAGCCTTACAAAGGTCATTGACTAATTTATCAGCTCGAACATATGCTTCTAGTCTCTTTCTTTGGAAGTCTTCTAGCATTTTCTGCATCAGCTCTAATACATTGCAGAATTTCCTTTCAAACCCTTTTTCCTACCGGACTGATTTAAGAAGTTTTGACCGTTCTTGAATTCCCACTCTATTCGCTTCAATTTGTTCCTGAGCGGATAGAGTGTAGTCATGACAATAGAATGGTTTGTACCAGGATCCTTCAGGGAATAAAACTTTGTGAAGATGAAAAAATATCTGGTCTAGTCTTAAGATCTCTTCGATGAGCGGATCAGGTTCATTTTCGTACATCGTCCCAGTGTGGTCGTAATCATCTTGATCTCCATGAGGTTCATAATAATCATCCCCATTAGTGTCTTGGTATGGAGAATATCCAAAGTTGTGAGATGGTATGTCATATGGTGGTTCCTTGTATTAGGGATGATAGTCAGACCCATTGTTGACTTGATAGTCATCATCATAAGGGTTCTGATATGGGTGATAAGGTGGATGGGTTTGGAACGGAGGGCGCTTAGGTGATTGGTCGTAAGAAGGCAGGCCATAATAATTATTGGAAAAATCCATAATTACTACAGGTGGATGGTGAAAAAGAAGTGAGAAGATCGTTCTAACCGGTTTTCACCCAAGCTAATTTGAAAAAATTAAACTAATACTGTTCCATTTCCCGGCAACGGCGCCATTTGATGATCGTAGTTTTTCGGGTAGTAAAGCTTCACAGTAAAGGGTTAGTTTTCTCTTTGAGTGTCGTGTCTCTTGAGGAGTGGACGAAGGGAATTAGCTAATATCTCTAACAAGGCAAAGGCTTGATCAGGTTTATGGAAATCTTCTCGAAATGAAATAAAAGAGAGCAAAAACATAAATAAATTTATTCACATAGTATTAGTTCAGATCTGGACCTAGGGTCGGGACATCATCTGGGTTAACTATAGAACACTTAATTAACAATTGGAATGATAGTATTTCTACTATTATTCACCTATAACTAAGATTCATAATTACCCTAGTTGACTTGAATATGACAGCCTTACAGCGTATAATATTTTCTTAGTAAATAGCTAATTAAATCAATTAATTAACTAAATGAGGAAACAATAATTTTAGAATAATCATTCCAACATTAACTAAACACTAACAGTATATAACCAAACTAGTTCAGACCTAGAGGTCTGGATCCTAACTCATACTATGCAAAATAGTTAAAATACTTCAAAGCTAACTACTATGCTACTCAAAAATCTAAAATGGAGAATTAAGACGAAAAGCATGAACTTTGGATGGAATGAGATGAATGGAATGGAGGAATCACGTTGTTTATATAGGGGACGGGGACAAGGCGTCCAACTCTCAGCATCCAAGTCCAAGCGTCCAAATCTGGACGCCATAGTTATTCCGACCATCAGGTCTTGCAACGTGTCATTCTTGGGCAGCAATTCAGCTAAAGCGTCCAACTTGGTCAAACATCTAAGTTGGACACTTCAGACCCTAGTCCGTTGGGCTTTGCGGCTCGTTCGTAAATTTGGCCCAATTTCACTTATTTTTGGCCCCAAACACTCTTTTTGACCTCTCAAAAGCTCGTTCAAGCCCGAGTCTTGATCCTTTGGTGATTGATTCCCTTTTTCTCACGTATTTGAACATAAAATTGATGATTTAATGTGATGTAACACCCTAATCCGTCCAGATTTGCAGCCCCTTTCGAACTAAAATATTAACTTGGTACTCGTAAAGATTTAAAATATTTCAAACACTTTTATTTATAATAATAATTTTTCATAACATAAATAGTACAAAGTTTTCAATATTGGGAAAGCTTAACAAATTATAATCACAAATATAATTTATTTATGTTCTGTAATTCAAAACCATCACATCCATTCCGACAATCTCGTCCTCGTCTGCCTCCAGGATCACGTCACATCATTCTTCCTATTAACCTGCGTGTAGCAAGTAAAACACTCTACACGCTCAGCGGTAAAGCTGAGTAACCATATCTAATGCGCCGAACATCCATATAAACTGAATCTTAATTCATAATCAAATCATTTCATATCATGCACATAATATCCAGTTCAGGCATTCATATTATTCACAAAATTTTAATTCAAATCATTTCATGATATAAACATTATTCAAGTTATTTCAATATTCAACATTCAATATTTCAACGCTGATTTTCATATTCAACATTTATCAACAGTATCCTTGAACTATTCTTAGTCTAAGGCCAATTCAATTCTTAAACTAATGCTAGTTTAAGTATTTCTAACCAACCCTTAAGCTAGGCCTTATTTAAGATTCAAATTTTCAAAAGAGATTTTCAAAATCCTAAACTTACTTTTGCTTAAGGTCAACCAGAAACCGACAGCGTAGTGTTCACTGTTGGATTGGTTGGTACCCCCAAACGAGTAGGTACTCAAGTTTGGTTCTTAGATCCCGTACATACGTTTTAATACTAGCCACTGGGCATCATACCCAAAAGGCCTATTTCTAATCTATCTTAGAGGTCTTCTAGATAGTATTAGAAACCAACATCAATAGGGATATATCTTAGAGTTCTTCTAGATATCCTTAATAGTTCATCATCATGTAAGGTTCTATTAGTTGTCAAAACATCATTTTTATTCTAAGAAATCCTCTTTATATTAATCATAATTGATTGGTTTCAAAAATAAGATTCCGTAGTTCAAAAATCATGTTTTTTAAACAATAATTGATTAATATATGTTAGGAAAATCAATTAATAGCTACTGGCCTCGTTTTCTTCAACATAGTAGGGAGATTATCGATTATCACAGGTGATAATCTATTATCTGACTTTCAGAATGGGGTGATAAGCGATTATCATATTCTGATAACCGATTATCTGTCTTCACTTCATTTTCAGAGGAGGCTAACAATTCATTGTCAGAATGTGACAATCAATTGTTGCGCTGCTGTGTTCAAAAATCTGCAGAACAAGTTGAAATCAATTTTTTGTTAATAATCGATTATCCATCGTCTTCTACCTCGAGCCAACTTACGGAAATGTCATTTTTACTTACCAATCTTCAATTAAAGTAAATAAAAATGTTTCCCAAGGTTCATAGATCATTTTGGCATCATTAATTCATAATTTTAACATCAAATTCATGGTTTATGATTCTTAGTTCTTCAAGCATGTCAAACACAAAACTCAACCAAAAGACCGTTTATGAACGTAAAAACGATCTATACAAACATTATAGTCATTAGATATATCTACGGGCTTACCTCGAAGCTTAATGGAGGTTTTGGAAATTTTCTGGCGAAACTTCTAGCGAGGCTTGTGGTTAGCTCCAGCGACTTCACAACAAATTGACAGCATCATTGCACTCTTCACACTCGGAGGAATATATTAGGAGGAAGAATTTCATGAATTGGTGGAGAAAAGAGAGATTAGCTCTCCCTCCTTATATAGGAAGATGAAGAACAAGTAGACAAGTATGTTGCGTAGGATTTGCGTAGGAATTGATCTTCAATCGGCTGAGTGGAAGAGGAGGCACCGTCCCTAATTGGGACTAATTTTGGTTCCAGTTGGGGTACACTTTTGGTCGAACTTTCTCCGAGTTGAATTCTGTTTGCATCGTTGCGACCAGACAACCAAGCTCTATTCAACGACATATGGTTTATATTTTTTTGTAATACTTTTTCTCACACCATATTTTAGGGTGTTTGACTTTGATAGAGTCAAAATTGATTTAATTGACGTTTATCATAGAAGGTTCTCCCATTTAATTTATTCTCATGGTTTATTTCAAGAATTCATTTCAAAGTTCATATTATAACAATTTCTTCATTTATCCTTGATTTAGGTCTGTACTCTAGTTCTCAATCAAGAACACAATAAGTCAATCATGTTAGATTTATCTCGATGAGATTTATCCCAATTATGTTTGTTGGATATCAATACATATTTTATTTTGGCCCAAACACCAACAATAATTTATTTTAATCAACACAATTTGATTTATTTGAATAATTATCCATTAATAATTTTAGAGTATGTTTTGGGGCGTTACATGTGAATGCCTTTTTATGACTCTTAGAACAATGATGAGAGTTTTAGTCATTAAAACACGTTTCATGAGATGATTAAATGATATTTACATGTAATAACGTTTAAAATATGATGAAAATGATAAGAACGAAGTGGACTAATCAATATTCTTGTCCATTCGAAGACTTGAGACGATACAAGACTTCACTGTCAATAATGGAGTTTTGTTGTATCGGAATCGCTTGGTAGTTCCCAGTGGAGAAGTGAGAGAACGTCTAGTGCGTGAATCTCATGAAACCACGTACCATGCATCCAGGTAGCAACAAAATATTCCAAGATTTGAAGAAAACATATGTCTGGGCCCTGCGATTCTTATTCCGCAAAAATTTATCAACACTCTCATCCCTCACTATTCACCCACCTCCAGTGAAAGGGAACTTATTCTAAAATTGGACTCTTTGATGAGAGGAATAAGATCACCAGCATTAACCCTTTGATGAGAAGAATAAGATCATGGACTCTTCTTCTAGAATGTTGTATGCAGGAATACATGAAAGACAATCCACGTCAAGACCACTACTCTTTCATGAGACAAATTATACATATTGAAAAGAACGATGTATGAGAATATACATTCGTTCCACAAACTTCCAACTCTACCTAATCATCAAAAACGGTGAAGAAGTACTAATGAAGAAAGTCGGTGAAACCACCGTTCTAAAGACCGAGCATGAGTTTGATGCCAAGAACATCAAAAAGATCGAAAGTTATGCAAAGGTCATAAACATCATCTACTGTGTGGTCAACCCGGATGACCACATGAAGACCTCGTGTTGCTCCACCCCCAAGGATATGTGGGAAAAACTCGAGGTTAGTTATGAAGGGACGCATCAGGTACGCGAAGCAAAAATTGATTTCCTCACCCAAGAATATGAAATGTTCAAAATGAAGGAAAATGAGCAAATAAACGATGTTTTGATCCATTTTCAAAAATCATCAATGATCTTCTTGCTCTCAATAAGACGTATGCCAACAAGGACCTCGTAAGAAAGATCCTGCGAAGCTTGACACCAGAATGGCGCTCCAAAGCCAACGCCATCTACGAGTCAATTGGCGTTTCCAACATTACCATCGATGGTTTACGAGGTAATCTCAAAACTTATGAATCCATTGTTCTTAACCCGTCTTTGGATGACTCAAGGCAAAAACGGATTCCCTTAAAGCAAGCACACAACATGAACAAACAAAGGAAGACTCCAATGATGACGATGATGAGATAATGCTTGTGATGAAAAAGTTTTAGGAAACTTTTATGAAAGGAGAAAGATAAGAAAAAAAGATGACATTCTAAGATGCTATGAATGTGGAGAAGTTAGACACATCAAACCAAAATGTCACAAAGCCAAAAAGAGACCATTCAAGAAGCACGAGGCATACATCTCTTATGGAGGCGATTCGGGAGACGAGTCCACCAATGAAGAGGAAGACGAAACCGCAAACCTTTGCCTAATGGCCCATGAAAAACAAAACCAAGAGGTATGTGATTCTTCTTTAAAAGATTATTACACTTTAGAGGAAATGCAAGATTCCTTTGAAGAACTTTATGTTGAGTTTGTTGGCGTTTCTAAAACAAATAAATCTTTAAAAAAAACTCTCAAGTTTAGAAAACGAGTTTGAAGGATTGACCCAAGACAATGAATTACTTAAAAAT